TCAACAATAGGAAGTTTTATTATGATATAGTATTTACTGTCCATCAGTGGCTGCAGATTTAGGAGTACCTGGGTGTGGATGCAGCAGGGACCTTTTCAGGTACAGGTCTTACGGCCTCTCACTGTCACCCTCTCTCATTTCCCCTTTTCTAATTTGCTCATCTATTTAGTGGGTGCATGCTGACTGCTTCCTAAATACAGGACAGAGTGCTAAGTACTGAGCAGGAAATGGTGGAAATAGACAATAGAAGGATCTTTGAGGGGGCAATGTAACAGGATGAAATGCCCTAAAGGGGTAGCTATGAAGCATCCGGTTACATGCTATAAGCTGTTGCAACATCCAGCACACAAGTCATAGTAGCTTTAACCAGAGGGAGAGGAAGGGGAGCAGAAACTAACAGAAAAGCGGCTTCACAAGCAGCAGTTTCTACCACCGTCTCCTGCTGACAAGAAGAAGAAACCGTGTAGCCAACTAGACTTCACCACTCTGCAAGATGGCATGTAATACACAATCAACCACCATGCAGTACAGATTTTTTAAAAACAATCATACCATGTCAATCTAAACAAAATAAAATTAGCAGCTGTGTGATAGGATGCATGCTAAGCATGTGCAAGGTTCTGATTTTAATCCCTGGCACTGAAAAGAAATGCATCGAATATTTTTAAAAAGAAGAAACAATCTGGGTTTGGTGGCATTCTGGAGGATTCTTGCAGGAAACTTCAAAGGACTCATGGATCCACCGAGAGCCAACATTTCCCTGGAGATTAACGATCTCTGTTTTTCACGGATTATCTGTACTGCAATTACTCTGTGTAAGGAAATGAGTTACTTGGCATCTCGATTTTGAGGATCCCAGTTAAGTAGCATCAGGGAAATAGAAGGAAAGCCACTTTCTTCCCTTGTCCTCCTTTTTCCTGAAGGGGCTGCCAGGGCTTCACACTGTGTGCTCTCTGCAAATGAAATACTGTACCCTCTGCAAAGCTTAAAGAAAACGACAGCTTCATCTCTGAATTTAAATGTCTATAATATTTAATTCTTCCTATGTGGTTAGTAGCTTGCTTCTCCACACTATCCAGATGATGACTTTGGAAGGTAAGCTATTGGAAGTTCAGGAAAGTACACACCCCAATTCAATTTCTGCAGAAAAATCAAAATGCTCTCAGGGTTGAGAGTTGAAAACAGCTGAGGGGCCAATACCTTCCCCAGGTGTTGGCCCAGGCGATGCTGGGGAGGGGGTAATGTGGGTACTGAGGATGAGGCAACAGGGCATACCAATTTGTTTTTCAATCTGTTTTACTTCAGTTCAGAGCATCATCTCAGACAGACAGCCCAGGAAAACAAGCCGCACTTTGGTTACTCTCAGTCTTCCTCAATCTGCAGATGCAGCTGAATGTTGCCAAAGTGCGGCTTGTTTTCCTGGGCTGCCGTCTGCACTGATGCTTTGAACTGAAATAAAATAGATTGAAAAACAAATTGGTATGCCCTGGCTCCTCCTGCAGTTTCATACCCTGCTTCAAAGCTGGCATTACCACCTACTCTTTACTGGAACCCAACAGACCCAAATCACAAAGTAGAAACAGCAAAGCTCAGATGGAAAGGTCCCACCCAAACCCAAAATAGCAATTTAATTCTGGGCTTGCAGTTCAATGCTGCATTAACATGCCACTCTGTGGCCAGCTCCCAGCTCCACTCACTGGCCTGGATGACATCTTCTGATGACATGCCTAACACGGTTATTGCATACAGTATAAAGCACAGCCTGACATCCATTCTTCCAAATGACAGCTCCAGTGTTCCGCTGATTTAGCACAGTCTATAGTTTCTCACACACTTGTTCTGGTGCTTTTCAAGTATTCCATACGATGGTAGAGATGCTACATTTTTGTTCTTTGAGACAGAGCCTCATGATTCTTGCTTTTTTTTTTTTTTTTTTTTTGCTTGCTGGCACCAGATTCAGAGATCCACCCTCCTCTGTCTTCTGAATGCACAGATTAAAGGTATGTGCCAGCACACCTGGTTTAAAGGGTGCTTCTTTATTAAGAAGGTAATGAAAAGAAACCCACAATTAACTGCAAACACACCCTAGAGTTTCCACCCAGCCTTTCCTCAGAAAGCCCCAAGAAAGTACAGATATTGGGGCTGAACGGGTAGCTTAGGCTCAGAGTGCATGTTTGGTGTGAGTCAGACCTCAGTTCCAGTCCCAAATGCTCCCCAAAATGCGCATATCTCTCATGGACAAACACAAACAGCCGAACAGTTCTAAGCTTAAAGCACTAAAATGATGAAAAACTTTCTGTGTACACAACTGTATAGCTTGGTTTTAAAAACTAAATTCTGGGTTGGTGGGATGACTCAGTGAACTAAAGGTACCTGCTGCCAAGTCTGTGACCTGAGTTCAATCCCTCGTGGTGGAACCACATGGTGGTAGGAGAAAACCAACTCCTGTAAATTGTCTTCTTCCTTTCACAATCACACTGCAGCATCCAGGCACCTACACACACACACACACACACACACACACACACACACACACACACACACACACACAGAGACACACATACTTAATGTAAGTTTTAAATAATTTAAAGGAACAAATTCCACTTGGGAAAGCTGTCCTCTATTTAAACACTAGAGAAATCTATCTCCCCCTCTCCCCAAAAGATAGCAAAACACACCTCCCTCCCACCCCTCATTTTGCTTGTAACACATCTGAATTCCCACTATTATTTAATATATCTGGGGCCAAATTTGGGTTAGTCTTTCCAATTAGATGTAATTACATGCAATAGCAAGCAAGAGGATAGGCTGTGTTACTAGTTTGAGACCAAGAAGACCACATCTCAGAAAGAAAACTTGGAACCTATTAAGATATTTTTCTCTTCTTCAATTAGCAATACAATTTTTTGAGGCAGCCCCACTGACCAGACTGTAAGATCAGACAAGAACTGTGCAATATGCCAAACCACCCAGTTCTACCAGTGCTCTTGGTGTAGAACAAATTCTCAAATATTTGCTCAATGGATGCTCAAGATTTGTATATTTACTATCTTCCTGAAAACATCAAGCTGTGGCACTGGGTAGCAGCTGAGGCCACAAAAGTAAGATGTGGCATTATTCTTGTGGACCTCACAAGCTGGCAAGAAAGACAACAGATGGAACACAGCATGGTATGATCTATTTACTTCAGCTCTATGCTCCCTACGCATAAACCATCTTTCCCCTGGGTAAATGTTAATCCTAACACTATCTGTGTCACAGACTAAGTGACAGTTCACATTAAGCCTTAGTGCCAGTACCTGGCACAAAGAAATAACTACTCATTTTATTGCTATGATGCTATGAGATAGGTGTTTGAAATTATTTTTGTCAGACCAGCAGGGGTAATGTACAACTGTAATTCCAACATTTGGAAGCTGGGGCAAGAGATCTCAAGTTAAAGGTGGGCCTGGGCTGCACAACAAGACCTTGTTTCAAAAAAAAAAAGGAGAAATAATTATTTCTATGTACCTGCACATCACCCAAGCTCATTGAAGAATTTAAATTACACAGAGACAGAGGTCATGGTTATCTTGTGCACTAATACATTTCCAGGACTCATACCTGCAAATAGTAGACATGATTAAATTCACTATGCAAGCACAGGTGTTTAAAAAAAAAAAACAAACAAACAAAAGCCAGATTGTGGTAGTATACCCCTTTTAATCCCAGCACTGGGGAGGCAGAAGCAGGTGATCTCTGTGAGGCCAGCCTGTCTACTGAGCAAGTTCCACGACAACCTCCAAAGCTACAGAGAAACCCTGTCTCAAGAAACCAAAACCAACCAAACAAACAAACAAAACAACTGTTAAATATTTGAGGGAGCTCGGCAAAGGGCACATGCCTGTAATCTCAGCATTTGGAAGGAAGAAGCAGGAGGATCAAGAATTTAAGGTCAACCTTGTCTCAAAAGAAATAAAAAAACAGGTTGGGAACTACCATCACAGAAGAACCATGTCTACATGACCGGTGGGTATAATTTATGCCAAATACTGAAAAACTGCACTTTGAGATTGCTTACACAGCTATAACCCATACCAAGATTTGGATATAATCCCAAGGAAAAACACTCCCAGAGGGAGAAAATTTACAGTTTGAGGCAACAGGGGGCAACCTAGGCTACAGGGCATTCCCAGTGACAGGCTCAAATTGCCAGCCCTATAACCTAGTACATCCTAAAACAGCTTAACCATACTTCTTTTGCAGAAGAAAAATACTTGCAACGTTATGCATAGACATAAAGTGGATGGTCTATTGCGCGCACTGGGCAGATGATAACATCGCAAAGCATGAGAAACTACTAGCTTGACAGTGTCATGGGAGCCAGGATAGTGTCAACTGCACACTACTAGCTCAATCTACTTGTGTCTCGGGCCAGACTTGGCAAACTTCTGTAAAGCGTCAAAGAGAAATGGCTCCGGCTTTATGGGCCTTTCCATCAAAGCAGAATAGAAGCCAAGCAACTGCAAGCTCTCCCCCGCCCAACGGCGGGCAGAAGGCCAGACAACACATAAACAATGAACATGGCTGCATCTCGGTGCAAGTTCACTTTTGGGAACTGAAGTTTTATTCCACACGACATCTATTTCCCCACAACTATTTTAAAACGGATAAACCATTCTTGTCTCTCAGTAAACAAAAGCTGAGAGCAGGGACCCGGAGGGAGCCCTGGGAGCGCGGACCACCGCTGGCCCGTAGCACGGAGCTGGGTAACAATGCCCGCAGTTGCCAGGCAGGATCCCGCGTCTCGACGACCGAGACTACGCCCGAGGTGAGGGCCATCCCCGGGCCACGTCCAGGGGACAGAGGCAGCTGTGACCGACGCGAGCCCGGCGGAGATCGCCACGTGCGTAGCCCGCAGTGCGCAAGGGTCCCGGGCTGCCCCTCACTCGGGGAGTCTCCCGGACCGCCGCCGCGACAGGGGTCTCCACGCAGAGTCCCAGCGCCGTTTCTATGGTTACCTGTTCAGTACCGATTCAAACTGCCGTTCTTTATTGACAGCGCCATAGAGGACACGAACACTCCTGCCCGAAGGGAACAATAAAGCTTTCTCCATTCAACAGCGCCAGAGACGCCAAAAGGGAGCCATCTTGGGGCCGGGGACGCTGAGGGGAGTGGCCCGGATGTGCTCGCTCCATACTCACGTGGTGCGAGTGGTCTCGCGAGAGGGCGGCGCCTGCATCACGTGAGCACTCTCCACCAATGGTAGGATCCCAAGGCAAGCTAGCGCCTAGTCTAGTCTCGACCTCTGACCTGCGCCACAGTGCTTGGTAGAAGTTTACCTCGAATGAAGTTTATTGGGGCAACTCTTAGGTTAGCAGCGAGGACACAACAAAGGCTTCTTAACGTTTTCCGTAACAGCAAACGCGGTCACGTGCGGGGCTTGGGCGCGACTGATGCCTGGACTGGGCTTGGATGTTGGCAGTGATTCTTTTACCCGTGTTCTCTTGTTTTGCTCACAGCCCCTCACACTCTTAGAACCCCGATCCTGGCGTCCTGGCAGTCAAACGTTTGTGTGTCGGATTCATTAGTCCCATTGGCACTGGCCAATGAACGCTGTCCCTGCATCACACGCAGACGTTTTGTCCCTGCTACCGATGCCCGGATCCAAGCTTCTCGTTGCAGTATCGAGCTCCCTCTGTGATTACAGCTGTTCTATCGGCAGTGACAACATTCGTTGGTCCCCAGCGTAGTTGCTGTCAGCTTGACTCAAAGCAATGCCGTTTTAAGACAGAAATTCAATTCATCGAGCAGAGCTGTCACTGGAATCGCTGCTGTCACCTGTCCTGTAGTACTTACTGTCATTGTGCGGTTTGCACATGCTGCCAGGGACTATAAACTTCGAACAGTTCTGCTCATTAGAGCACCCTGGCCAGCTGTTCTAGCTCATTTCTGTTATGATAAAACACCCTGACAAAAGTAACATAATGATTCAGGCTTGGTGGCCCACTCTTTAATCCTGGTGCAGCCAGAGGCAGGCCGATCTCTGTGAATTTGAGGCTAGCTTGCTTGTTCTACAGGAGTTCCAGGACACCCAGAGCTACATAGTTAGATGAAGGAAGAGGACCAAGGGGAGAAAGATTTATTTCAGCTTATAATTGAAAATTAGTCCATTGCTTTCGAGAAGTCAAAGCAAGATAAGGACAAGAAGTCAAAGCAAGATAAAGGCAAGAAAAAGATGCATCACATCCACAGTCTAAGAGCAGAGAGAAGTGAACGCTTATTTGCTTGTGCTCAGTTGAATTTCTTACACACTCCCCTTGTCTGGGGAATGTTGTCACCCACAGTGGGCTGGGTCTTCTGACATTGGTTAAGTAAAGACACCCCCTCACCACACACACACACACACACACACCACAGACATAGAGAGCAACCCAATGAAGACAGTCCCTTAGTGAGGCATTCTTCCCAGTTAAGTCTAGGTGTGTCAGGTTGACAAAGCTAAACATCACACCAGTTGTCACCTGTCAGTTGTTCACCCTGTCATCACTCAGCTATTCTTAACCACAGTCAAACCAGCATTTAACGGCCCCGCCTAGGACACAGTCACCTTTTCAGTCACTCTCGCTGTTATCCTCACAGGTCACCATCACCTTCAGCATCAGATTTGTCACTTTTGTAGCCTCTAGACCTTCACCTACAGCTGTTGTGACTACTGAGCCCTCCCCCCCCCCACATCCCCGGCTTCACTTATAGCAGGAGCCCCACAATATAGACTGTTGTGCTCAGCACATAGGTGATCCACAAAAAGCGGTAAAGCGGCGGCCACTGGGCCTTATGTTAATGTGGTTGGCTTGCATCTCGAGCAACGGATATAAGTCTTAAGGTCCTCTGCTCAACCAGGTTCTGCCTCACATAAGGGGTAAAAGGCGAGATCAAAAGAGGTCACCATGTACACAGAATTTTCATGACTTGGTGACAGAAAATAGGTTTGTTTGTTTGTTTGTTTGTTTTAATTTCCCTAGTCCTGGGGATCAAACCCAGGGCCTTGTAAATGGTACCCAAAGGCTCTACCACCAAGCTTCATCTCCTAATCCCAAGAATAGGATTTTAAAAAGCTTTTTTTCCTTATTTTAAAAGGAAGATATGAGATCAGGCAAAAAGTCTTAGCAGGTAAAGTCGGTGTCACCAAGCTGGATGACCCCACATGCTGAAAGAAAAATAACTGACAACCCCACAGATTGTCCTCTGACCTCCACAGCGCTGTGGCACATGTCTATCCATACACAAATAATCTACATGTAATAAAAAGACTCCATTGCCAGTGAGACGAGACAGTGAATAAAAGCTCTTCTCACACAAGCTTAACCTGGGATCAATCACCAACATCCGCGGGGAGGAGAAAACCTCTCTCCACATATGTGTACTATGCCCACACACATCATCATACATGAATAATGGAAATTAGGGTGATGGCCAGGAGTGGTAGTGCACTCCTGCAATTCCAGCACTTGGGATGCAGAGGCAAGCAAATCTCTCTGAGTTTGAGGCCAACCTGTCTGCAAAACAAGTTCTAGGACAGCCAGGGCTCCAGGGCTCTGTTACACAGAGAAACCCTGTCTGGAAACCACCCCCCCCCAATTAGAATAACAGGAAATGCCTTCCCTAGTACACATTCATACAAACACACACACACACACACACAGACAGACAGAGAGAGAGAGAGAGAGGCAGAGAGAGAGAGAGAGAGCCTTAACTGCAGTGTCCTGGTAACATTTACTTGAAGTTTTAGGTTGAGTATCCCTAATCCAAGAATATGAAATCCACTCAAGACTTTCCAGTGTTAATACAACATCATGAATAGAAAATTCCACACCAGATCTGTGGCAGGTTACAGTTAAAACGGGTGAAGAAAGGTCTAAAGAGCAATGGCTTAGTGATTAAGAGCAATGGCTGTTGTAACATAAGTTCTAATAGGTTTTAACAAAAGCCCAGAGTCAGATATAGGAGGAAATGCTGAGAGATCAGAGAGAAGAAGGAACAAGTCAAAGCTACCTTTACCCCACTAGCTTCTTAGCAGAAAAGAGCAAGTTCCTGTTTCCTCCAGCCTATATTCCTTTATCCGGCCAGCCATCTCACTTCCTGTCTGTCTGTATAGACCTCTGTGGTTAACTAGTGGCAAACTCCACCCTCTGCTCTTCAGACACGCTTTATTTGTACAAACAATATATCACCATAGGCTGTTCTTCCAGAGGACCTAGGTTCAATTTCCAGCACCCACGAGGTGGCTTACATCCATCTGTAACTCCTGCGCCAGGGGACCTGATATCATCTTCTAGTCCCTCAGGCAACAGATACCCACACAGTATACAAACATACATGCAGATGAAACAACACACACATACACATACAATGTGTACTGACCATCTGATTTTATATAGCCTTCAGTCTATGTATGTAAGGAGTACATGAAGTACCCATGACTTCCTGATCCAGTTCCCCTGATTTCTCATGTGTGGAGAATATTCCAAATACAAATATTCCAAATCTGAAACCTAAAATACTTCTAGTCCCGAGCAACTTGCATGAGACATTTTTTAGAATATCTTTTGCTTATTCTTCAGCAATTTCGGACATGTAAACATCTTAACCATATGTACCCCCACTCCCCCCCAGCCCCACCTCACCCCTGGACATCCCCTCCCACCTTCATGTTTTTTTTTTTAATTTTTGTAACCCACTGAGTCCAATTAGTGCTGGCTGCCTGATGGAATCCCAACTGATCTTGTGCAGGTAACCATGAGTGCATGGGTGCAATGGCCATGTCCTTGGAGGCAGGGTTGATGCATGTGTGTCTGACGTCATGCTAATCATCCAATAGACACTCCCAGCACTTTAACCAGTCCTGCATCTCTGTAGTGACTGCTGCCCACTGCAGAAAGAGGCATTTCTGGCCAAGGCCAAGAGGAGCACTAAGCATGAGACAGTCTTCTGGAACTGACTTGCCTGTAGTTCAGGAAGAGGAGCACAGGAGGTCTGGGAGTAGGTTCCACAATCGAATATGTGCCCTGTATGTGAACCTGTATTTCAAAACAGCAAAACTGTGGCTGAGCACAGTGGCACATGTCTGCGGTCACAGCTACTCAAGAGGTTGAGCCAGTTGGATCGCTTGAGCCCAGGAGTTTAAGGCAGTATGGATACGTAGGAGGACCCTGTCTGGAGGAGGAGGGTGGAGAGTGGAGGAAGCATAGCATTACAGAGAGCACTGCCCCTGACTTCTGGCTGATTGCCCCCATGGAAGAATAAGAAAACCATGTCTGGACCTTCTAATACGGTAGCCTCACTTTTCCGGCGAGTGACAACAGCTTTTGTAAAAATTACAGGAGCTTTCCCATTGGTAGAAATTTGGCCTTGATGGGTAAGACACTTGGGGAGTTTTCAACTACATCTACCTTAATAGAGTTGGTCCTTGGGCCACTGCCCTTTGTAAGATAACCAAGATGGTTCTAGTTAATCCATCCACTGTGAAGTCTCAGGAATGTGGGTCAGTGCTAGAGCCCTCGATTATTATTCAAGTGACCCCGTTTGATCCCCATCACCCCCCAAAAATGAACAAAATGAAAAGCTACCATTTCCACAGTGTTGAACATATACCAAGAACACCGAAGAGGGAGTTAAGGGAGCCATTGGCATTTCACTGCTGATGAGAGCAGTTGTCGTTTATCTCTTTATGTCTCCCTGATGCATGCCACGCCACACGTGTGTCTAGAGTATCTCATTGAATTCTTATAACCACTCAGTGACCTTGGTATTGTGAGGCTGGAACGATAGCTCAGCAAGCACTTAAGAACAGTTATGGCTCTTGAAGAGGACTTAAATTTGATTCCCAGTACTTATATCAGGCAATTCACAACCAAATACAACTCCAGCTCTAAGGAATATGATGCCTTCTTCTGGCTTCTGTGGGCACCTGTACTCATGGGCACATACTCCCTCCCCCAACACACATAGGTGCATAATTAAAATAAATCTTTTTTAAAAGAGGAAACTGACTCAAATAAAGAAAATAATTTGCCTACAAACACACAGTTCTTCAAGGTTTTAGGTGTTAAACTGGGAGGGCTGACTTCAGATTCTGTACATCCTTCAACCTTGCATATTAACTTAAGC